ATGCCCAGGCAAGATCAACTAGGTACCACCATCTACTGGGAATATGGAGGATGGTTTATAGAGCAGGTGAACTGAGTTAAACTTGGAAGCAAACCTTTATCACATGCGAGATAACTTTAATGGATTCCATCTTCTCTTCTCTTCTCTTCTCTTCTCTTCTCTTCTCTTCTCTTCTCTTCTCTTCTCTTCTCTTCTCTTCTCTTCCCTTCCCTTCCCTTCCCTTCCCTTCCCTTCCCTTCCCTTCCCTTCCCTTCCCTTCTCTTCTCTTCGAATTAAGAGATAGCAGTGCCTTTCATCTGGAAGTCAAGCTTTCTCTTTATTTGGGATGAGGAAACAGTTATTTATCAATACAGTTCAGACAAGATATGGTACCAGAAGATAGCAAATTGGAAGACAGTGGTAGAAATTTAATTTGTAATGTATTCCCCATACAGAGATAGCAATAGCACTTAGACTTATATACCACTTCATAGTGCTTTACAGCCCTCTCTAAGCAGTTTACAAAGTCAGCATATTTCCCCCAACAAACTGGGTCCTCATTTTCCTGACCTCGGAAGGATGGAAGGCTGAGTCAACCTTGATACCCTGCTTTATTGCTCATAGTAACTAAAATTACTTTTGAATGTTTGTGTTTGGAGTCTTGAAACAGATTGATTCGTTATGTGCCATAATAGGGTTGTTGACTCTTTTGGCACATGATGATTCCTAACCTAATAGGATAATTTGAGTCAAGTCATTTGTATCCTTAGTGAGAGCTCTGAATTGATTTGTCTGATGATCAAGGTATACCATAAATCCCAAGTAGTCTGACAGACTGGGAATGGGTGGCCTGCTACCAAAATACACACACATATATATATGCATTCATACATACATACACTGGGATTTATGGGAAAGGCAGTCCATCACATATGAAAGTCCATCACATTTAGAGATGGCTGTTGTTAAAAAAATCTTTCTGTTTTCCCGTATTTTTGTTCCCATTGTTCCCTTCTTTATAATTCATCCTTGTAGCCTATAAAGAAAATGAACATTTCCACACAAGGATTGCCTTCCAATTCAAAACTGAACTGTCTGGAGGCTTCTGCAATTCCACAATATTAGCAACATTCCTCTTTGGTTTCTGTCTCAACTCTGATGCAATTCGAGTCACAATTAAACTGATTGTTTTTTGAAGTGGTGCAGCCTTGTGGAGCCAATGGCTGCTTTGCTTAAGTTAGCTGGTACTGTTTGAAGTGGTAGTATTGCAAAATGGAAATTTCTTTACATGCTTTAGAAGGTGAAATAATCCCTCCTTTGTTTGGTTCCAAAGTCCATCTAGCATCTGTTTGGGGTTAACCGGATATATCTTGGAAGGCCATAGGCAGGACAGAAAGTTGATGTTTTTACTGCCACTCCCAGCACCTATATATTTGTAACATCCTTTCAGATGTTCAGATAACACACAGGCATTAAGAGCAGTAGACAATGCTAGCTATACCTTCCATAAATTTGAATAGAAACCTAAAACCAGCAAAATGAGCGATTATCACTATTTCTGAGGGTAACAAAGTTCTTATCTACCCTTAATTGCCCTGCCTTTAATTAGCTAAGCACTTCAACATTTTTCACAATGAATGATTTTATAGCTCTCAATCCTAGCCCCTCCCCCTTTTAAATTTTCTAAACTAAAAGTCACTTCTCATCCTTTATTAGGAGAGTTTTATGAGCGCCTGTTTCCCCCCACCCCGTTTGCAGCATTATACTTTCCTTTTTGAAATGCAGTAACCAGGAGTACCCAATCTTTCATTATTATGTACTTATTTTAACCCAGATTATGGATTTGAAGAATTTTACTACACTCTGAGTCAGTTGATTGGAGTGGCCTATAATCCCCAGAAGGAAACAAATAAATAAACCAATATTTCCAGTATCACAGCAAAAAGGCATTATGATATTGGTAATAAGTTTTAGTTTGGAATTCACTTTCTTTGTAGTGACACATTTGGCTAATAGGGTGAATAATTTAGTCTTTCTCTATATTAATTGCTTACTCTGTTATAATAAAGGACACTGCAATCAATAGATATGTTTTGCCTAGAATAATCCTTAAAGATATAGAAGCCCTATGACCATTATATTTCTATCTTAGCTTTCCTTCAAGAGTTAAGCATGTGGCCTCACCAATGGAATAGTTGCATGAAGAGAAGAAAGCTATGGGGCCAAGGCCATCTATCAAGTATCACAAACTGAATATGGATTTGAATCCCAGCTTTTTGAATCTGTATACAACGCTTCTACCATAGCATTAGTTTTTTCTGTAGCTGCCAGTATTCAAAATTCTACTTTTTGCAGCGAGCGTAGCTGTGAATTTTGAGGGGTTTATAACCAGCATTGAGAGCTAACCTGTTAGTCTCTAAGAGGCTAAAACCTCACAGGAGATGCACTGGAGAGGCATATGCAAAATTTTGGATTAGGAGAAGCTCTAAACTGTAAAGGGATTAAGAGTAGCAAAAGCATTTGAAGAAGATGACACTATGTGTCACTAACAGCAACTAAAGCTTCCTAATTGTAATAAACCAGTACAAGTTTCCTGATCTGTCCTCAAATCCAAACATGCACGTAGGTATATTTCTAACAGAATGTATTTAAATTCCTTCTCTTTTATTGTCTTTCCTTGTCCTCCAGAGGATGTTTTCCAACATTGCATTGTGTACCAGTAACAATATTTCTTTGTAAGCGTGGAAGAGACTTTGTGTTCCACCATAAAGAAAATCTCAACTACAACTTTCTGCAACCTTCCTGCCCTCCCCACTCTCACACCCCCATACAAAGACCCTCCTTAATTGTATCACGATTAGGCTGCCCTTCAGCCCCTACTCAAATGAGGACAAGGCTAGTTCTGTATTTCATGGGATAACAATTTATGAGCAATTAAAAATGAAAAGACACAAAGCATTCATCATGGCAGCAGCGAGACAGGCAGAGAAGGTCAAAGGTTCCCACAATGAAGTGTGCACAATATATTTTTTTATTTCTGTTTCACTAAGAAGGAAAACGGGTTAGCTAAAAATTATGGCGTACCATTCCTGGTTCAAAAGAGGTGCACTTAATCTTTCAAGACAGGCTTTCTTGGACAGATGGGTGATGAAGGTATGATCACCTACACAGGGATAATAAATACAGAGAAAAGGTTCCGGATAATATTGGAAAATTCCAAATAATTAGAAAAAGCAAAACACAATAGATAAATGAATATTAGCTTCCTGCAATGATTGAGAGGAATTCTAAACTAGGAATTCTCAAGTTCAAATGTTGCCTTAGCCATGAATTCACTAAGGATATGTGGTAAGTCATTGTTTCTCATATTCAGTGGCTTTCTTTAGCGATATGAAGACAATAATACAACAGTGCGATAACTGTGACTCCAGTATGGTTGGCCCCCACCCTATATCTTTTCTGAAAGAACCTACTTTTGTGATTCTAACAGTGTGACTGGGGATCACAAATGGAGATGGAGCCAATCAAGTGGCTGATTTGATTGTGAAGTTGTTGCCATGGGTGGGTGGGTGGGTTTGTTTTTTTAAAAAATGGATTTAATGGTGTGGTGGAAGTTTTAAATTTTATAAGCCCTCTGGAGTCACCTATGTGTAAACTGGACAGCTATATCAATTTGTTTAATAAATAAATAACAAATGATTTGGATCAGGGCTATTTCTACAGAATTTTGATTTGCTGGGATGTAGACTAGATTGGGGACATGGTGGCTCAGTGGCTAAGACGTTGAGCTTGTCATCAAAAGGTGGGCAGTTCAGTGGTTTGAATCCCTAGTGCCGCGTAACAGGGTGAGCTTCCATTACTTGTCCCAACTTCTGCCAACCTAGCAGTTCGAAAGCATGTAAAAAATGCAAGTAGAAAAATAGGGACACCTTTGGTGGGAAGATAACAGCGTTCTGTGTGCCTTTGGCATTTAGTCATGCAGGCCACATGACCACGGTGACGTCTTTGGACAGAGCTGATTCTTCGGCTTTGAAACAGAGATCAGCACCGCCCACTAGAGTCGGGAACAACTAGCACATATGTGCGAGGGGAACCTTTACCTTTACCTAGATTGGATTTAATGTCAACTGCAGGATTCCTTAACTTCCATTGAAATATTTCCTTAGAATTGAATTCAGGTACACCTCCCATCTGCAAAAAATCTCATTCTAGACTTCATCTCTCTTTGCACTGAACATTATTTTAGAAGAAACCAGAGCAGCAAAGGATTCTCTGTTGCAAATTACAGCTGCTGAAGACTGGCCAAGCATATTGCGAGACTTACCTCTGTGGTTATAGAGGAATTTTATAAATTCCATCTTTCAAAATCTCAGTTCTCAGTTTCTACTTATTTTTGCCAATAGATTCTGTACATCTTATATATAAAAAAGGGAGTAATTTTCTTGCAAGTAGGGATTGCAGAATTTGCACATTGCACAATTCTGGTCCTCAGGATAGAGTAGAATTGTCTTCTTTAAATACCTGAAGTGCATTGCTACAGGCCTGATTCATTTATTTTTCATTTATTCATTTATTTTTTACCGGCTTTAATCTAACTGTAGTTTCCAGAATAGATGATATTGTTTTAATTGTATTTTGATTTGGCTAAAAGGTCTGCTTTAATATTATTCAGATCTTTCTTCTTACATTTATTGCTGTATTACTACTGTATATATTATTTATATATTGGGTTCCACAATATTCAATAATTGTGGAACCCAAAAGGAAGGGTAGCATATACTTATGCTAAGTATAATTTGAAAAAGGCTTGCTTTAGCTGATGAATTGTCCAAAGGGAGGCAGGATTTTGTTCCGTCGATAATATTAATTTCCAAAAGTGATTAGAAAATAAATTATACAAATCCAGTGTTCTTAAAATCACCAGTCATGGTTTGATGGCTATTTCTTTGTCCCACAGAACTGTGCTGTCTTGTGGTCTCCTCTCAAAGAACTTTGTGGGTGATCTCAAGTCCTCTCCTTGTCCAGAAAGGAATTACAAACAGTCAGTCTACATGCTGATTCTTCGTTCAACCATGGTTGTTGGCTTTGATGCAGCTAACTTCAGTTCACTATTTCTTAAGGGACTTACGCGATAAGAAAGAAAAGAGAAAAAGAGAAGGAAAAGTGGAGGAATGAAAGGTACGCGCATCATCTTGAATCAGAATAAGCTAAATGTTTTGCACCCAAACAAAACAATTGTCTGAATGCAAACAAAGGTACGGAAAACAATTTTAAAAATAAAATAAAAATGTGTTAGTACAACATAAGAACAGATAGTTGGCAGCATTGTAATTTCACATCTTCCTTTCAATCTATCTGCCCAGACATTTGGGTTAAAAAATTATATCATGACACTTTTTAGTAAATAATTATGATCACAACAATATTTGTCCCCTCCAAATCAAACAGATGTTTCAGATGAGCAATGATTCTCTATAAACTTTTTTTTTTTTTACTTCTTATAACTCAATTCAATTTTCAGGATGAGAACATCATCTTCATCCCACAGTTAATATTTTAAAAGCTCCTGCAAAAGAGTTCCAATAAGGAACTGCCAAGTTGTACAAAGTTGTATGAAGATCTAGAAGAAATTAGATCAATTAGATCAGGGGTGTCAAACTCGTGGCCCATGGACTGGATGCGTCATGCGCTGGACACGCCCACCCTGGTTTAGTGAAGGGGAAAAAAGTCACGATACGTCACATGACAACGCAAGTTTAACACCCTGAATTAGATGAACAATGCTGCAAGGATATAAGGAAGAATGATTGGCAATTCTAAACTATTGTCAATGCCAAACAAGGTTCTGCTAAATTTTCCATTAGGTGATACAGGTAGTCCTTGACTGAGCCTCAACATTTCTGTTGCTAACTAAGACATTTGTTAAGTGAATTTTGACTCTTTTTATGACCTTTGTTGCTACAGTTGTTAAGTGAATCACTCCAGTTGCTAAGTTAGTGACATAGATGCTAAGTGAATCTGGCTTCCCCAATGACTTTGCTTGTCAGAAGGTCACACATGGAATCACATGACCCTAGGACACAGCAACCATCATAACTATGAGTCAGTTGCCAGGCACCTGAAGTTTGCTCATGTGAACATGGGGATGCTGCAATGGTAATAAGGATGAAAAATGGACATAAATCACTTTTTTTCAGTGCCGTTGTAACTTTGAATGGTCACTAAATGAACTGTTCTAAGTCGAAGACTACCTGTACCTTAGTGTCAGACAAACTGGAATATCCCAGGGATAAGAAAAGGATTTTTTTTTGGCACTATTAAGCCACTGCTTTTAGCAGAAATATTGCAATTTAAGTTTGGTTGTAAATCAGAAACCTGTGCAGATCTTTGAAACATGTTGTTGTACAGCTATGGCTAATATACACATGAGCCATGTGTAGATCTGTACATTGGGGAAACAAAACAACCACTTCATAAATGCATTGCACAACATAGGAGAACAAACCCATCAGGACTAGTTTCATTTAATAGACAAAGGCCACTCTTTTGAAGACAGCAAAGTCCACATCTTGGACAGAGAGGACCCCTGGTTTGAAAGAGGAGTCAAAGAAGCCATCTATGTCAAAACTGAACAGCCCACTCTCAAGAGAGGGGGAGGGATATGACATCATCTATCTCTAGTCTACAACACAGTCTAAGAAGGCTCCACACCCATTTGCACCATTCAGGTGACCCTGAGGACAGAGATAAACCTCCAGGTGGCCTTAATGACTTGCTAAAAGAATGCAAATGACCAGTTGTCTGTAACCAGAGGTGGTATTCAGCAGGTTCTGACCAGTTTTGCAGAACCAGTAGCGGAAATTTTGAGTAGTTCAGAGAACTGGTAGTAAAAATTCTGACTGGTCTTGCCCCCATCTATTCTCTGCCTCCTGAGTCCCAGCTGATCGGGAGGAAATGGGGATTTTGCAGTAACCTTCCCCTGGAGTGGGGTAGGAATGGAGATTTTACAGTATCCCCCTGACACGCCCACCAAGCCATGCCCACCAAGCCATGCCACGCCCACCAAGCCACACCCACAGAACCGGTAGTAAAAAATTTTTTGAATCCCACCACTGTCTGTAACGAGTATAAATCCTTCCATTCCCCATCCAGTCAGAGCTGAAGAAGCTTCTTGGGTGAGAAGCAAAACATCTTTAAAAAAACCCAAGAAAATTCAGTTGCCTCTTGAGGAAAAAAAAAAAACAACATGTGGGACAAGCCTGGATAACTGAGAATCTCCATAAATATTTATACACATGTAACTGCATTCTGTTCTGAACCATGTTTTGGGGTACAGAGAATATTTTACCATAATCAAGCTGTGAGGTTATTGGTAGATGGGACACTGTGTGTAAACTATCTTTTTCAAGAGATGGCTACAGCTAGCATATTGAAGGGGTGTGTGTGTGTATGTGGAGGGGGGAGATGTAATGATTATATTTCTTTTCAGCAATCTGGTTGTTAGCACACACAGCCTCAGCATACAGTCACAACTCATGAAGCTTCTTCTTCCATAAGGAAAAAAACCAGTCCAGTTGCCTTTTGAAAAAGCACCTTTGAGATAGCTATGACCTGGATGACTGAGAATCTCCACAGACATTTCTGTGGACATGGTAGAAGGCCCCAAACTTATGAAGATGGTGTCCCAACTTCCTAGCTACCATTGAAGCTAACCTAGAATCTTTGTAGTTGTTTCTAAAGCCTAAGTACATGCCTCATTTTTATTGAGTTTTTTTTTAAGGTGCCTGATGTAATTTGTAATTGACAACATGGCTGTAGCATTAAAATGGAAATATTCACTAGAAACTACTGGTTTATGCTGTGCTGGATTAGCTAATTGGTCAATGACTCATGAAGCAATCAATGATCACAACCGCTGCCATTTAAGGAGATTCCACAATAGCACAATTCTGTTTCAACCATTGATTGAATTCACTTAAACTCACTTTGTCTGCAAGCACTTAATTAAATATTATTTGATTCATAATTACAATTTTATTTTACTTACAGTCAATCCTTATTAATTTTTAAAATTTATCTTTGCATACCACAGGCTATTCAGTCAATAGTCAGATGGTATGTTGCACTGTTTAATATCCCAAGAACAATAATGATACAGGGCCACTTTTTAAATGCAAAGTAGCAATGGCACTTTTTATCCTATCCGTCCAAATCTTAGGTATATTAGCTCTGCAATTATTTATTTCTAGATGGTTTGTTATAACTTCTCATTCAGAAGTAAAAAATTATAAAGAATTGTAGAATTTAACATATCTGCAAATGAATCCTTTGCAACTCAGTGAGATTTATTTATAGACAGAAAAGTAAGTTTGCTTCCTTTCTCCAGGGCCAGTTCCAGTTGGTGTTGGTTGGACCCTCCTTTAGGGAAGCCGCAGGTTCTGCTGTCTCTGTCTTTTTTTCTCAATTCCATATCAGATCCCTGGCCAAGGTCATCTGCTGTTTAGGGATTGGTATCATCACACCAGGCTATCAATTGAGGCCATTGAGGTTCTGTCCCAATGCCTGGAGTCTGTGAGTTATGATGGGGAGGAACCATCTCTGACTCAATCCTACCAAGATGGATGGATTGACTTTCCTATTCAAAAGTGACATGCAACCTGGGGGTATGTATCTTCCAGGATTCATCGCTCTTCCTCAATGAACAGTTGGCAGCTGTGGTCAAGAAGGCTTTTGAAAATCTGGTGTGCCTTTTGTACCCCTTCGTAGATGGGACACTCTTCAGATCGTCAGTTTCACCTGATCACCTCACAGTTGACTCATGCAATGTGTTCTACAAGGGCTTGCCTTTCAACCGCACCTGGAAGCTTCCACTGCTCCAGGACGCAGTGGTGAAGCCAATGATAGGCATGACTCAGTATGCCGATATAATCTCTGCTTTACGAGTTATATTGGATTCAAGACTGCTACCTATAAAGTCCTACATGGCATAGGGCCTGGTTACTTGAGGAATCATTTGTCTTCCATGGTATCTCCCAAGCTGATTTAATTTGGTACAATTGGAATGCTGTGTCCCTTTGACTAAACAATGTCATCTATGGGAATTCTGTAAGCATATTTGCTCTGTAATAGCATCTATCCTGTGGAATTAGATTCTCCCGGAGGTCTGAATTTCTCCCCACCCTGCTGTTGCTTTGAAGCCTTGGTCTTTGCCCAGGCCTTTCATGAAGGAGAGAAATTCCCTTTGCATTGGACGGATTTGTTTCTTTTTTGTTCCTGCCAATTTTTGCCATCCTTGTCATCTTTTATTCTTTTATTTTTGTCTATTGTTATGTTTTTTCCCCCTTGTGTTTAATGTTTTTACTTATGAGTTGCCCAGAGCTAACAATAAAAATACCTTACATTTTAAAGAAAGTTTTAAAACTTTTGACTCTAAAGTTGGTGTCAGAACAGTTTCTGCATCATTCAGCACAACTTGTTTATGGGCTCTCCACAGGACAATCGGGTAGCTGTCTGTGCTATCCTTTTCTTATGTCTGCTATTAAAAAAGGGAATGCAGAAGAAATATTTCAAATGATCTATTGCAAGGCAACTTTAAGGCTAAATTGCTGAATCTTTAAATCACATTTTGGCCTATTTGCATAACCCACTGAAAATGACTGAGCTAATAAAAAGAGAATGAAAGTAAGGTGACAGGAAACCCATTTTGTAAACCATTGATTATCCCGTAGTAATTTTAGAATGAAAAGACACATGGTACAGAAGACATATTTCTTTTATTTAGGATAGCATAACATGCAAAAATGTGCACAGTGCAATTCTTTAAAATCAGGATAACCTCACTGCATTATTTCATTTCTTTATACAGCTAATTCTTCCTGGAATTTCCAACATTTGAAAAAGTCTGTTTTAGATGTCACTACAACACAGAAGTTATAGCTGCATTCATGGAGCTTCTGATCTTCAAAATGACTCACGTCCTTCTTACATTTATATTTACCGTGTTCTGCATGCAACCTGCCTATAGCTTTTCCTCTCTTTTAAAATCCTGCATTAGCTTTCTGTTTGTTTGAGGGCTGCGGCTTGATCAAAAAAAGATTAAACAAATCAGCAAGTGCTAATCGGAAGCCATTATGGCAACTTTTTCTGCTCAAATGGCTTGGCAGCATCTATCTGCTAACTTAAATGCAAACAATCACAGGCTTCCAAACTAATTACAGAGTAGAACATTATAAGGGGTACGAGATTTGACAGCTATCATTACTAGGAAAAAAATGGAATTTATTATGCAAATTGATCGAGCATTCTATCTAATTGAAATAGTATATTAGGAAGGGTAACTCCAGCACTGATCCCTACATATAGATATACCAACAAGCTTAGGAAACTGCTTTACTTCAGTGTTGTCTAATCTTGTTTACTCTGAGTTCAGTATTAGACTTGTACAGCCACATGTAGCACTGATGATATTACCTAGTTCGGGTAATGAAATGTCTCTAAGAAAACAACCAAGTTCAGAGAGCACCAAAGATCCCACCCATGTAACATGTACAGACTGCAACTGAGCCCAAAATTTATGCTGTGAAGTGAATCACTGCAGTTGTTAAATTAGTAATACGGTTGTTAAGCAAATGTAGTTTCCCCATTGACTTTGCTTGTCAGAAGTTCGCATAAGGGGATCCACATGACTGCGGGACACTGTAACCGTCATAAATGTGAGTCAGTTGTCAAGCATCCAAATGTAAATCCCGTGACCGTGGGGATGCTACAACGGTCATAAGTGTGAAAAATGGTCATAAGTCACTTTTTTCAGTGCTGTTGTAACTTTGAACGGTTACTAAATGAACTGTTGTAAGTCAAGGACTGCCTGTAATTTATTTGACTGGGGTTGTGATGATGTATGAATACATCCCAAGAAAGATGTGCTTTTTGACATTTAGGGTGTAGTTTGTTGGCTGTTTATAAATGTAACTTGCATTAGATGGCTGTTGGTTTGATAAAATCTAGAATTCTAGCTGATTGGGAATCCATCATTGCAGGTCATCCCTGGCCATTGCTTGTTTGATTCTGCCCATCTGTAGTAAATTAGTAGGAAAGAATGAATCAGGAATTTCAAAATGATTCAGAATGATTTTGATCTTCTACAAAAGAGATTAGCATATTCCATACTTATTAAAAAAAACATGGTTGCAACGAACCATGAGTTAATGTGCAAAAGGGCAACCTTGCACATCCTGACTAGTACTTCTTGCACTCATGGACAAGCCAATAGTCTTTTTCTTTCTCAGTTAATAGCAATGTTCAATTTGTATGAAAAACTTACTCTTGGGATGGAAAAGTTACACACTAAAGTATACTTGCAGCCGTCTCTGTGCTCTTTCCTTTCTGAAATAACGTAAATGTTTTATTGAATTGCTACTATGATCCAGACTCAGTCTGTATTTAACTCCTTCATCTCCTGTTCTGAGGACCACAGAACATTTTAGATCACTCCCCCCCTCCTTGCCTCATTTTTCTTTGCCATTGAAAATCAGAACTTTGGCTAGGGGCTGCCACTACTGCGAAAGCAAAACTGATAATGCATGTATCGTTATTCACACAACTTCACTTTTATGTCATCATTGGGTCCATTGGATGCCTACGTGGCATGTGGTCCATTCACATGGTTGAAGAAGCTCACATGGTTAAAAAAAGTTCACCACCCTCCAAGTTCAGCTACAGGAAGATGACAAATGTTTTTTGAAGTATGGGCCACTTTTTAAAAATTATGTGATGAATCCAGATTCCACCTCTCTTTGTCTGTATGTTACAAATATACTGCATTTATAAATATACAAATATACAAATTTTAATTTCATCTTCTGTTGTGCCTGCTCAACAACCATTCAAGCAGGCAGCTGGGCTTTCTATTTTCTTCTAAAATGCTTCTTCTGGGTTGCCTGTTTATAGATTCAACAGTTGGGTTGAACCATGCACCCTCTGAAATAGACTGCACTACAGCACACATCATCCACTGATAAGGAACAATAAAAGTGATTGTCCAACATATTGGGAAGGCAGCAACTCAGGAAAGTATTCTTTCAAAAATCAGCAGTACTTAACATTTGTTCAAAGCCTGAGATATGCCTTGTTGTGTGAGAAGAGGAAAATAGATTTGTGGCATCAAAACCTGCAGATGATCCACAGAAGGTATCTGAAACGGGAAACTGGCACACCCAATTTGCCTTGAGGTAGTTTCAAGTGAGAAAATGTACTGTTCTTTAGAAGTCCTTGAGGGAGGGGGATAAATTAGCAGTCCTGTGAGCTACCGATAGTTTCATTTGGTTTTTATTTAATCACTGCAGACCTCAACATTGGCTTCACTTTATCATGTGATTAATTAAGCAATCATCTCTTTTTAAAGATTTATTTCCTTTTTGTGGAAAACTGTGGCCAGGCTTTAATAAAATCATAAGCTATAGGATCAATATCCACAAATGTTACAAAAATATTGCAGGTCAGGGAATGAATTTTAAATCAATCATATCATACATATTCCTCCCCCCCCACACACATATACATCCCCTTAAATTTTTCTGCTTAAGAGAACAGTCAGTTTTTTTTAAACAATAAAAGAGTTTTATACTAAACAAATACATAGATCCCATTTATAAAATACCATGAATGTGAAAAAAGTTATTAAGTCACTACATTTATTAATTGGATTATTATTTTTTATTTAAACAATGGAACTTAGTTTTATTTATTTGCAACCACTGACCTACAATAATGTAATGAAGACATTAAGAAAATTGTGATGATGAAACAAAAATACATAGGATTAATAAAAGCCCAGATATTCTTTTTAAGGGCACTTTTACAAACCCAGTTTGAAGGAGAGGGGAGAGAATTATAGCAAAAAGGAAGTAGTTCTTGACTCTTCATGTTGAACCATTTTCTCTTTGAAATTGTCCCAGGTTGCATTATACTACTGATTAAAGGAGCCATCTATTCACAGAGTGGTAGAAGGAGCTGTTTGACTTTTTTGGGGGTGACATCATCATAAGGTAAGGGCCTCCCTGCCAAAATCCATTTTTTCTCTGACCAATTGTAATTGTATTTCGAAAGAGAGAGAGAGAGAGAGACAAAAAAGGGTAGAAGAATAAGAATAAAATACAAAGAATAAGGAGCATGAGAATCAATTCAATGTATTTTAGATGGTGTTTTATTATAATAGCATTGCCAATTCATTATAGGGGTTGCTTCCATTCCTAAATTTTTCTTAGTTTGGGCAAAGGCAACTTCACACATGCTTAAATCTCAGGGAAATCTTTAAAATCAGCCAAGTTGCTAAATTGTTTTAGTAATAAGCATCATTCAATCTGTGTTTCATCAAGCATGTCTACGACTAGAAACATCTCAGTGTAAAATAGTCCTCTGATGGATGGCAATTAATTAAACTCTTAAAATATAAAGGCCAGTAGAACAATGCTCTGTGCTATGGATCATTGTAGAGTTAAACCCTTAGAACTTCCATTTGCATTAGGAAAAAAAAATAGAGATCACTTTAAATTGAAAGGTAATTTTCATAATGTGAGTTTCATGTTAAGCTGTAAACAAATATTTGCAGTCCCATCACACATATGTTCTGATTTCATTTGCAGGTACTGTTTGGGCTACCAGAACTGGACTGCAAAATTTCAGACAGAAAAGGCAGAGAAAGGTTAGAGTTCTCAGTATCTCTTTGGCCTCCTCCCTCCTCCCTCCTCCTTCCTCCCTTATTTTTACAGTGCAAAGCTGGAAGCTTTGTTAAAGTACTTGATGTTTATTCTTTTCTCATTCTGGATAAAAAGGAAGATGAACCATTTCCCTATGACCATGAAAAACCAGAACGGATTAGGGGTCAGAGCTATGTGCCAATTGAGACATTCTACATTAGAGACCAAATGTTCCTCATCTCCTATCTATCTATCTATCTATCTATCTATCTATCTATCTATCTTCTATCTATCAATCATCCGTCAATCATCTTCAATTCATCTATTCACCCATCCATATCTATTCATTTGCACAATTATTAGGCTTCAAACAAGTTTCCTGTGTAATTTATGTTGCATTAACATAAGTAAATGTCCTAACAATATCAATTTGGAGGGGTCTTATATAAGATCAATCCAACATCTTTCAGTTATTAACTTTTTCTGATTATCTTCACCTATATTTTCAATTGTGGTTACAATGGACATTCACTGTTCTCTCTCCTTTTTTTGAAGACACGAACTCTAAATACACTATTCTTATAAGACACACTGCTCTGCTTTCATTCTGTCAGAAATTGATTGATGGGATGAAATTAAGTCTTTGAAAAAAAAATTCTGACGTGGAAACATTTCTAGATACCTCAGAAACTAAGAGCAATGCGAGAAAATTTTGTATCTATTGAGAAGGTTTCTCCAGAAGCTAAATTACCCACTTCATATTATAAAAAAAATAAAAGTACAAAAATAAATACAGTTGTTAATCAAGAAATGTAAAATACAGGATTGGGGTTAATAGTTAATAATTAATAGGTTCCAGTTTTAAGAATGCTCAGGTCTTTTTCATTTTTAAAAAAATGGATCAATGCAGTGGTGGGATTCAAGTAATTTAACAACAGGTTCTCTGCCCTAGTGATTTTTTCCAAAAACCAGTTTGCCAAACTGCTCAGAAAGTTAACAACCGATTCTCCCTAAATGATGCGAATTGGCTGAATCCCACCACTGGATGAATGGAACAAAAATTATTTTCCTGACAAATGTTTAAAATGATTGCCTAATGTGTTAAAGCTGGCTATGTTTTAGACATGTCCATTTGCTAGTTTCTTATTCATTAGATAATTTTACTGTGCTGAACCAGGGGTGAAATGTTCCTGGTTCAGACTGGATCACTTGGTCTAGTAGCGATGGCTGCAGGTGGTTCGGAGAACGGGTAGCAAAAATCCCTGTCCCCCCATGCCCAGCTGAGCCGCGCAATCATCAGAGGCTTTTTTTTTAATATTTAAAAACATTTTTTCTACAACCTCTTCGGCCAAAAAAATGCTTTTAAAAGTAAAAGAAAAAAAAAAAGACTGATGATCGCGCAGCTCAGCTGGGATTGTCAGAGGCTTTTAAAAGCATTTCAAAATGCTTTTAAAAGGCTCTGACGATCCCAGCTGAGTTGCCTGATCGTCAGAGGCTTTTAAAAGCATTTTTTTTTACAACCTCTTCGGCCAAAGAGGTTGTAGAAAAAATGGTTTTAAAAGTAAAAAATAATTTAAAAAAAGTTGGCCATGCCCATTCAGTCACATTACTCCCCCACCAAGCCATACCCACAGAACCAGTAGTAAGAAATTTTACATTTCACCACTGTGCTGAACCAAGTCTTGAAAATAAATTCATAACTTTTGGAACATATCTATTTATGAAGGACTTTGGATACATTGACCCTGAATTGTAGAAAATGGAGATTCTGTATTTTTAATATATACAGTATGTTTGTAGATTTATCTGCTTTCAGCCTTTGAACTGACTTTGTACTGATAGAGAGACAACCAATAAGATTTCCACATGGTCCAGGTTCAACTCATGGCTTAAAAACTATTTGTATAATTATAATGTCTTATTTACTGATACTGTAGAAAAGTAGTGGAATGATTTTAAAAATACATGGCTAATTCAGTATTACATCATTGAATGATTGGCTTTCTTTTAAAGCCATTTTTAATGTTTTCTATTTTCTTTACATCCACAGGAAAATCTTAAGATCTTTTTGGTCATAGGATGTTTACATATGTGAAAGCAAGAGAGGAGAAGCAGCACGGCTGCGATGAGCCTGTTTCATTATTTGCTGCACTGGTTACCAGTTGTCACCTCTAATGCCCTTGATCGCATAGGGACTGGTTATTTAAGAGACCATCTGTCTCTGGTTGTTTCTGCCTGATATTCCCCCAGAGATCCAAATAGCTCCCATCCTGATGATATTCAGGAAGCTATTAAAAATCTGGTTGTTCTCCCAGGTTTTGGGGCTCAATGGAAAGTGCCCCAAAACCTGGGGATGTTTTTTTTTTTGTTTTGAACACATGTTTGGTTTTAGGATCATTCATGATTTCTTTTTGTCTTTTGTTATTTTTTACTTTTTTAACTGTAAGACTTGAAGAGTTGTTGGATGCTGGGCAGCCTATAAATTGCAGGTGTAAAGAAATGCTTCATGCAATGGAATCTTGCTATACCCTGTTTCTAGTCTGTTCCCATTGTGCAATAATATTTTCCATTGTTTCATTGTTTGCATAACTACCTACCCAAGTCCATTTTTGAACACCTCTGAATCCTAGGTATTCTAAGTATACGTAGACCCATTGTTTAATGGAATATTCACTTATACGAATCATGATCAAGTTTTATAGAATAAAACTTGTTAAAAGGTCGACTAATTAATGCACACAGTTTCAAAAGCCAGTACAAAGCAAATGACTGAAAGAAATAAAGGATAGACGCTACAGAATAATCTTTGGGACTGTTTGAGGGAGAGCAAGCTTGGTGAAATTGTAGCCTAGGTTAGAAAGTTGTTTTGGTACAATTGTCCGGTCATTATCTATTTTGGATTATAATTACTTTAAAGAGAGAAAATAAGAACAGTATGCAGTAAACTTACAAGGTATAAATGGAACAAAGTTCTCAGTTACCTGCTACAAACTAATCAAACAAGGATAGCACTCCTTGCCATGCAATATTAAAGATAAATAGGGGGCCAGAAAAGCAAGTTCTAGTTCCTATACAGTGCACCAATGTGGCAGAATACACCAACATTCAAAGGTGGAAAAAAACACTTCAGACCCCCGGGGACCAATTCATCTACTTTTCTTTCTCCCACTTTAATGAATGAAATCATATTTTTAGACATTTTAGTAAATTTACATCAATGCTGGACTGATTAAAATCCTCACCTCAGAGAGTTTATTCTGACACAAAACTGGGCTTGGAAGAAGAAATGAATTTCTTCACTCTGCTTCTTTGTTTTGAAAATTTTATGAATGAATGTTTGCAGTTGGAAGATTTTTTTTGGGGTGGGGGGAGGATTAGGGACAGAGGAGCCAAGGGAGAAAAATACTAATGTTTTTATATCTAGTCAAGAGTTGTCTGCTGATATATTTTATACTGACTGTTTGCTAAAGAAGGGACTGTAGAGGCGCAATAATTCTTATTTTAAAGCAATCATGTATAGATTTGTTAATATTATTATTTAATTAATATTAATCACTCTTAGTTGTTAAAATATGCCTCTGAAAGCCAAAATATTTAGTGTCAATCCAAGCTAATCACTAGTACAGACAAAGCATTCACCATGCTTTAAACTGCATTTCAACATCTGTGTTTGGAAAGATTAGAGAGTTGCTTCATACAAGAACAATATCTATTAAAGCTGATGAACACTGTTTGGAATACATTATGGGGAAAGAGCAGAAATCTTGAGTGCCAGAAGAAGCAAAGGTAGCATGATTGGAATGGACTATGTGTTGTCCTAACTGTATAGATATCTGTGGACTTCTGAGAATAGTACCACTCGTTTACCAATCAATTTTTTTTGGCTCAAGCACAATATAATACTCATTTGTTTTGGACTTACTCCAGGAGAAATGCAGGAAACCATTGTGATTTCAAGGAGTTTAGTGACATAAATTGATATCTCCTTGATATGAAGAAAAGCCTAAAAGTTTAGAGCTCATTATGAACTAACTTGCTTGCTTTTCATTTTTGCTTTTTGAATAAAAGGGGAAGAGAGAGAACATACTGTAGCTCAGGGGTGACAAACTCATGTCGTCATGGTGGTGTCATGTGACATATCAGGATGTTCCCCCCCTTTGCTAAACCAGGTGTCGGGGTGGCCAGTGCATGATGCATGTGGCTCTTGACAACCCTGCTGTAGCTGTAAACCTGTGAAAATCTCAGACTCCCAGTTCCCATTCCAGAATCAGATACCCACCCAGGCAAGGCCAGGTCTTACAAATTCATGACTATAGCAGGATCATGAAAGTATGGTGCCAAGTTTTGATAAAAAAAAAACTTGGATTTGTTGTTTTTCGGCCCACGGGGTGCTTAGATCTGGCCCGTGGGGCCGCCTTGCAAACAGCGAAGGACCGGGCCATGGTGCCTCTGCCAGTGAAAACAGAGCTCAGGGGGGGCCATGGGCGGCCCTCGTGAACTCTGTTTTCACTGGCAGACGGTTGCAGGAGGTTGTTGCAGCTGAAAAAGGAGCTCAAGACCCCGTTTTCTCTGGCAGAGCTTTTGGGCCCCCACAGGTGCCCCTGACATGAGTGATGTCAAGCTGGCCATGCCCACCCATCCCTCCCAAGCTCAAAAACAACCCTGATGTGACCCTCAATGAAATCGAGTTTGACATCCCTGGTTTATTGTCTCTGAATCCATAAGAACCAATTGCCTGCGGCCTGATCACTGCTCTAACATTTGAATAGAAATAGAAATAAATAGAAACAGGAACAGGAACAGGAACAGGAACAGGAACAAGCACAAGAACCAGAACCAGAACCAGAACCAGAACCAGAACCAGAACCAGAACCAGAACAAGAACAAGAACAGAATAGAATAGCAGAGTTGGAAGGGACCTTGGAAGTTTGCTAGTTCAACCCCCTGCTCAGGCAAGAAACCCTATACCATTTCAGACAAATGGTTGTCTAATCTCTTCTTAAAAACATCCAGTGTTGGAGCATTCACACTGGAAGCTTTTAAGAAGAGATTGGACAACCATAATAATTGATGATGAAGCTGGAATCCAGTGACAATGCCCTTCTGGAAAAAAAATCTGCTAGCTTTTAAAACAAAATACAAGATTAAATTATATTCCATGAGTCTTTAATGTCACACCCTTAAATTTAGAAATCAAACTAAACAGATGCCTCACATCCAATGTCCCACTAAGACAAATAGCAATGTGACAGAAGTGTGCCACTTATATTTCATTGTACATATTCAACCATCTGGCCTCAAAAGTTTCTGCTACTGTTGAGTATCAAAGTAGTTCTACAGTATCTTTAATAGTTTCCAAATCTGATATAAGTATTGCTTCTGCAATTATATAACAAAACTATTATTAGATTGAAAACCAGGAAATAGCGAAAAGAGTGATTGCAAGCAACTTGCAAGTTATCAATATCAGCTATTGATAACTTTTGTAGTACAAGGGATTAATTAAAACAGTCAGTGGGTGATTTTTTTGGAGTGAGGATTGTAAATGAAGTAGAATTGGAATATACAATGGATTAAAGTTAATAGAGAAAGAAACAGCTGGTGTTAATGAAGGTTAACTTTTTTCAGGACAACAGCAAATTTGAGTTAAAGGGATAGTATTCTTTTACCAACATCTTTTTGCGGGGAAGCAATAAATGCTTGTTATAATTGGATTTCCAAAGATAGATGTAAATGCAAAAAGAAGAAAACAATGTTTTGAAATAGTCCTCATTCTTAATAGCTATTGCAACTGGTTTGAGTTTACAACTTGTGACTGTAACTTCAACTGTCAAATGTGCAAGTCAGTCTAGAGCCCTTTTTGCTGGTGAATTGCAAGTGTTTTGTGATCCTGAACCAGCAACATATTTATTTTACAATGACCATCACTCGGCTTTGCTAGGTTTAACTAAACAGTTTAAGAAAGCTAATTTGACTACAATACCAGTGAGCGAAAGGTAGCTAGGTATAGCAGAGCGGCTTAGAGAGTAATCTATACAGCTCCATGAGCAAGGTCAATAGGGCAAATAATGAGATGACATCATTAGTTCTGCCCCCTTTGTATTAGAGTGATGACATCACTCATATGTATGCAAGGGGTAGAGTTTATATCATGATCACACTTTTTATCATTTTGATGAAAGCTCCATTGCATATCCATGTATACCTCCCAGTTTATGTGACAGGCACAAAAATACTGATGTACCACACAAAGACATGGTAAATTTTATGAAATAGTGTGCCTTCCCAGCAAAATGTTTGACAAGTAAATACAATAAATAAAGCCATGCTCTATTCTATTTATCCATGGTGGAAAATATACACACGGGACATTATTTCACGATAAGATTTCTATGACATCCCATATTAGATTTTTCTTGCACAGGCTAAATCTAATTATTTAGACTTCCATCTTTACCTATTTTTCTGCCTCTTGATTCTTAAGGAAAGCTATACTTTTGCATAAGCAATAGAGGTGTTATTTGTTCAGAGTTTTTAGGGTCATGTTTTATTGTAATTCAGCTGCAATAAACTTAATGAACTACAGTAATTGGTACAATAAAATCGTACACAAGTGCAATATACACTGAGCACAAATACCAAAAGCCCTTGAGCAGCAATAATAATAATATGCAGAGATGTTTTAACCAAACAGCTTCTGCTCTTTCATTTGGGAAAATGCTGCAGAATACTTTGAATGGGATCTAGTCCCTTCTGGGGTCAGCAGTGGAACTCTCTGCCAGCAGACTTTCAGCCTTAATGGCTTTATTTATGTTGCTTTATTATTTGTTTTATGGACAATCATAGTGTTTTATCAAGCTACACTCTTCGCAGGCGTTTGTTATTTTCATTCAAGCAAATCAAGTGCACAGTCGAGCCAAAGTTGAATGCATTTAGGGTCTTGGGATACAAACTGAGCAGAATTCATCATTTATATTAGTCATTGACTAGATTGGTGAAATAGATAGCACTGGTTCTTTGTGAACTTCTTGCTTTCTTCATTAATTCTCTAAACGTATTTCAATTTTTTAAATTTCTCCATTATTTTCTCCATTATCTGCAGTTCAGCTGTGGCTGATCCTTTGAATTGTTATATATTTACCAGCCCTATAAAATGTAGAATATATATGATAGGTGGTAGTCTCCTACCTTGACAATTAATGACATGTTTTTAATTGCAGGATCTTGAAAGAGTACCAAGATGTTTCAGGTGGAATCTGAGAATTGCAAATGATAAAGATGCCAGTTGATCAGCAAACTCTGGCAACTTCATGTTAATGTGAGTTTTCTCTGAGGTCTTTTTACCAGTCCATATGAAAAAAATATAGACTGTTGAGTTGAATTCACTACTGCTGATGAACTCATAAATACATCTGAATATTTTTTTGATTGATATTGCTGTCTTTCTAGATATTTTTGCCATCAAACCTACAGCCCTGATGTGTTCTGATGATTTCCTACCCAAGTACTAATCAAGTCTTTCCTGTTTAGACTTCAAAATCATGTAATATCAGGGGTGCTGTTCCTAAGCTACAACACCAGCAGAAGATAGTTATTTATTACTTGGTTGCAATCTTTTGATTAATTTCAGGATTTTCTTGACAGGTCAAATACAAACCTTTCTTCTTCTCTTACTCAATCCATAGACCATCATGATCCCCACCTGAATTGGCCAATAATTCATAACTTAGAGAATAGAATAACAGAGTTTGAAGGGATCTTGCAGGTCTTCTAGTCTAACCCCCTGCTTAGTCAGGAAACACTATATCATTTCAGACAAATAGTTATGCAATCTCTTCTTAAAAACATTCACAATTTCTGGAGGCAAGTTGTTCCACTGATCAATTGTCCTAACTGTTAGGAAATTTCTTCTTAGATCTAGGTTGCTTCTCTCCTTGATTCCTTTCCATCCATTGCTTCTTGTCCTGCCCTCAGGTGCTTTGGAGGACCAGATGCAACTCTCTCTCCCTCTCTCATCCATCCATCCATCCATCCATCCATCCATCCATCCATCCATCCATCTATAAACAGTACATCTGACTTCATGTCCTATCAAACTTAATTTCAAAATATCATATAAAGGACAAGAGCTGAAGAAGCTTCTTGGATGAGAAGCAAAACATCTTCAAAGAAAAACCAGAAAGTCCAGTTGCCTCTTGAAAAAAAGCACCTTTGGGACAACCATGACCTGGATGACTGAGAATCTCCATAGAGAAGGACATTTAGAGTTCATTTGCTAAGACAAAAGGCATGATGAGAACTGTTCATGGAAATTCCTTTGAGAAAGTCAATGCCTTCACAGATGCTATGGTTATTTACATATTTTTCATGTTTCATTCACTGAGGTTTTCAGTCAGATCTTTTATCAACTGGGGTGATTATCAAGGAGAGTGAGTGGATATATATCCAGAATTCTTTCATTGATATGAAAATGCAATCTTTTATTATATATTCTCCTCCTAGATGGAGATACTGTACATGCAGAAGAGTAAATAGACATAAAGGAACTGCAACATCTTTCACCTTGAGTTTATGATATATTGTGTAAGAGAGAGAAAAAAAAGACAGGAAATCAGGCAAACAAGCAAGAAAGATCCGTTCCACCAAATAGACTTGGGGAATTTTTTTTCCTTCAGACAACAGGCAAACTGCAGATCAATGAACTGCTGCAATATCTATTTCAGCCTTTTTCTTATGTTGGGTGAAACTAACAACCCAATATTTCACTGAACCACTTCAACTATGGTTCAGTTCACTTGCTCAACTGCATCTACATCAGCATCCAATGAACTGGTCTGTTCCAATCTAATGTCATGTATGAGAAGTAAAACTTAAAATTCAGCTGAGGAAAAAAAAACGTGTTCTGGAATGTACAGGAAAATATAAGATAGCTGTTAGGCCCGTGATGGTGAATCTATCACGTGGCATGCAGCACCCTCTCTGTGGGCACGCGAGCCATCGCCCCAGTACAGCTCCCCATGCATGCACGTGTGCCTCCCACCGGACAGCTGGTCATCAGGTCTCTGCTGCACATGAGCAGGGGGTGGGGTGCATGCGGGGGGCGTGTGTGTGTGTGGGGGGGTGGGGCACATGTGAAGGGGCGGGGCACATGCATGGGACCACACACGCTTTGGGCACTCAGTCCGGAAAAGGTTAGCCATCACTGGGTTCAATTTCTTTTTGTCACTGGAATTCATTTCTGGGATAAAAACTATTGATGATGTGATAGACTAGGAAAGCTCTGATCAGCCATATATGGGGGTTTGCATGAAAAAAAATAGCTAAGAATCTGATTTTCAGCAGTAGCTAAAATTCTGGAAGCCGCCTTATGAAGGAGGTCAGTTCTGACTCATATGTTTGGATGTATGCTGGTATGACTGTATGTATTTATTTTACATTTTTACTCTACCTTTTTTTAAACAAACCAATATCTCCAAGTCGCCCACATCAGTATAAGACATTCAGGCAACTCAGCTGTTCTATATTCCAGAAGCTATGAATCTGCCAACATTGCTTGTTGCTTGCCAAACTCCTTCTTTAACTTTCTTTAGAATCTTTTCATTACAAAAAATGAAGCTAGTATGCTCAAAGCCAAATACCCACATGATCTATATATGCAGCAATGATCTATATATACACGTTTGCAGCCCCTTGCTTTGTTTCTGGTAGAGGGCGATTCTATGATTGGCCACCTTCACATGGCAATCATTTGTTGAACTTCCATAAAAGTTGCTCTAAAAATGCCAAATATGCCTATTGACCTAGAAGAATTGGGCAAACTTGAGCTAGATATTTATTAGTATTTGTTACTTATTTATTATTATTATTATTATTATTATTATTATTATTATTATTATTATTATTATTATTATTATTTACTGTCTTGTGGAGCTGCTTTGGTGATTGAAAGACTGAAACCAGATTTCTTGCCTAGTCCTTTAAAACTAAGGGAAGAAAATAAATCACCTCCAAATTATACAGCATTTGGTAACTCTCAGCTGAATTGCTCAGCTAAATCTATTGGAAAACATTGTGTTTGAAACAGGGATGAGCTGAAATTATATGAAAGCAATGGAAATTAATTCATAATAGTTTATTCATGCAAGTCAATCATTAAATATATTACCCACCAGCAGTAATATGAATCAGATCCAGATTTTTTTTCCGTCGTATTTATAGTAGATCCATTAAAATCAGTAGGGCTTATTAGTCATGGCTCATTTAAAAACATATATTTTACTTTTGAGTAAATTTGACATTTAAGTCTTGTTGATTTCAGAAATGTATTTTTGACTCACAAAATACTTCAACAATTTTTTTAAAAGTTATAAGAGTAATACCCATGAAAAATGTCATTGATGAGTAGATACCCAGCAGATATATCTCTTGATTGATAGACTATATTTAGATCTATCTTTTTCTTTCTTTCTTTCTTTCTTTCTTTCTTTCTTTCTTTCTTTCTTTCTTTCTTTCTTTCTTTCTTTCTTTCTTTCTTTCTCTCTCTCTCTCTCTCTCTCTCTCTCTCTCTCTCTCTCTCTCTTTCTTTTCCGCCCTTCCTCCCTCTCTCCCTCCCTTCTCCTGGTCTCTCTCCTTATCTTTCTCTCTCTTTCTAAAATAATAAAATAAATTGCAGAACACTGCAATAATACAGGAAGTATATTATATTTGAAATATATTTCTATTCTTTGCTGCTTGGGGCAGGCCCATCCAATATTGTAGCCACATGAGGTGGCTACTAATAGCAATAGTTTGGGCTAGGGAAAACGATGTGCTTAATTATAGATATAATCATGAATCTGCAAGCTCCAACACTCATACCACAATAAAACACAGCTGATATCCATGTTGTTAATGATTATTTTTTATTATGCCGCATGTTGTTTTAGTGTCTGCATCAGCATTGTTCAAGAGTGATTACAATATTACTAGATATAATTTCCCATCGAAAGGGACACTACATAGCAAAAGAAAGCATTTTTCTCCTCTCTGATTGTCACTGGAATTTTTCATTTCTGTAGACCCGTTTTCCATAAATAGTCTACTAAGAAATATTGCTTGGGCAAATTGATCCACTTTATTTAATAATGTCAATGGCATTGAATTTCAAATGAATGATGATGGTGTCTCTTTTACCTCATATTAAGTATGACAGTTAATAAAAAGACCTATTGCAGTAGAGGGCAACATTTGACTATCCAATTCACACAATCAGTTTAGCATTGAGATATGTGGGCAAGGAGCAAGGTCTAGATGTAAGTCAAAATAGTGGTTGGCCATACTGGGGTTTAACTCTTCGATAGCCCTACTCAATTCTCTCCTGTTTTCTGTTTTCTCACAGCACAAGCCTCATGGCAGTTTACATCTCTGGATTGAGAACCAGGCCACGCTGTTTCCTTACCTAAGTCAATGGCTAGGAAGGATTAATTTTCATAGTTGACGCTAAGAGCTCAGAGACAGTGGATGCAGAGATTACAAAGACACAACCTGCAATTTCCCCAGTTTTGCCCCTTCTGTCTGATTGCACAGGCCCTTTGATAAAAGCCCCATTTTCCTGCAAATAGATGTGTTGGACTGTGCTTTAATTGGGTACTGATTTTTCTTGCTACTGCACTAAGTGCCCCCAAACTAGATGGAAACCAGCTTTAATCACACAAATCTTGACTTATAGAGGTGAGCATGCATGCAAATTCATTTGCAAACATTTGCTCAACATTCCCTTATTTAACCAGCATATGTGAGAGGATGCTTCTGGGTTACTCCCAGTTTGTAGAAAAGTACCCTCTGGGAATTCTGTTAGCCTTCAGTCTCTGTGGCTCAGAGAAGGCGGCAAGATGAATCTCTTTGACCCAGATATATTTTTTTTTGTTAATTACATTTAGTATCGGTTTACATGTATTTTTAAACTTCTTTCTGTCATTTGTACTTCAGTTTTTGTTAGCTCTTTTTTCCCTTGATTGCATAAAAATGCAGGATCTCTATATCAAAAGCAAATCAACTATAATAACTATAATAAGGTCTTTCATAATGTCAAAAGGCAATCACCACCTTTTTAAAAAATTGTATTTATGCTTTACCTAAAGATAGGTAAGAGATACTTATTTTGTTATAAAACCAACATACAATTATAATGTGCTTATTAGGATTTTTATTATATTTCTTCTCACTATAAGTTAGATTTCTGTGGCTGTCCAACTCAACAATAATTCTAGATGGCATACAAATTAAAAATAAGACTCACAATACATTAAATAAATGCGCAAAAATGATGATTATAACAAGGAATAGATACACACTGTAAATAAATCCATTATAGTTCACCCCAACCAATTCTAAGAACTGGGCAAAAAGCCAAGACTTCAAGGTCCACTTCAAGGACAATAGGGCTGGGACTGCTCAAACCTCTGTAGAAATGCTACTTTAGATGGCAGCAGAGACTTTCTACTTTGTAAGTCCCATCAAATGAAAATGCTTATGAAGTGGGAAGTGAAGCAAGGCAAGTTTGTTAGCTCTTATAGGGTGAGTAGAAACAATAGAAGAAAGGCAGTCTTCCAGATGACCAGATAAGCTACGCAATGAAGTGGTTTGTAAATGACAATCGGAGCTGTGAATTGTATCTGGAAGCCCTTTGGTATCAAAGCACACTATTACTACTATTACTACCATGTTTCCCCAAAAATAAGACCCTGTCTTATATTTTTTTGAACCCTGAAATAAGTGCTTGGCCTTATTTTCAGGGAGGTCTTATTATTTTGGGGTGCTTGGAGGAAACTAGAGGAAATGGCGGGGACCAGCTGTGCATGCATTTAAATATTTTCGGGGAGGGCTTATTTTCAAGGGCGGGGGAGCTTATTTTAGCACATGCACTCAAAAGCCCGATTGGGCTTATTATCAGGGGATGTCTTATTTTCGGGGAAGCAGGGTACTAGTGCTTCTACATTGTGGACTGTTTACAGCTTCCAAGTGATCTTCAAAGGCAACCCCACATGAAGTGCATTGCTGTAGTCCACACTGCAAGATTACTAAAGCATGAGTGTCTGGGAGGAAGGACTTGCACTCCAGACAAAAGGCAAGCGGTGTACCAGACCTGTTCAATAATCCTGGCCACAGTCATCATGTGCTCTTCAAGCAGGAATAGTGAGTCAGGAAGATCCCAAATAGTCATTCGCCATTGCCCGGGGAAGTGCAATCCCATTCAGAAATAAAGATGAAACTCTTGGCACCAGAAGACTCACAAACCCGAAGCTACACAGTTTTGAGAAATGATTAATAAAATTTACTTTAAAATATTATACATGTCATTATAAATTGGAAAGTCTATAAGAAAGTGACTAAGGGACTTATTCTGTTTGCTATTCAATTATTTTCTCTAATAAATGTTTCCAATAACCCAACTAGTTGCACTTCTTCATATCCAATATCTCAGGGGCTGCCACAAAGAAGAGGGAGTCAAGCATTTTTCCAAAGTGCCTGAGGGTAGGACAAGAAGCAATGGGTGGAAATTAATCAAGGAGAGAAGCAACTTAGAACTAAGGAGAAATTTCCTGACAGTTAGAACAATTGATCAGTGGAACAACTTGCTTCCAGAAATTGTGAATGCTCCAACACTGGAAGTTTTTAAGAAGATGTTGGACAATCATTTGTCTGAAATGGTATAGCCTAAGCAGGGGGTTGGACTAGAAGACCTCCAAGGTCCCTTCCAACTCTGTTATTCTATATTCTATATTCATTTTTAAACTGCCAAGCTTTTTGACGATGTAGCTTCCCTTCAAATAAAATATTATTTTAAAAAATTCCATAGGAATCTACGTAAAAATAGAGGAGAGATTTTGGAAACTCAAGAGCCCTTTTTTAAAATACTTGGAGATTTATTATTATAATTCTAAATTGCTCATCTTCTCTGATTATCCATAGATGATGTCCTTCTATGGAGTGCTTTCTTATCTTGATGTATCATATGACCAGCTTCTTCCTTTGTTTCCCAAAGTTTCTCTGCCTGAGCAGAGTCCAATTTTTCCATGGGTGCAAGAACAGCTCCTGTTTGTAGGTTCGAAGGTAAGGGAGATTAGCTGTTCAAGCATGAAGGCAGAGGAAATAACCTCACGCTAAATATTTGAACAGGAGAAATAGATAAATAGCATGAAAAGTCATCTGCATCCCTTCATCATGAATATTAATGCAATTATGATTCCTCATGACAGTGGTCTTAACATAGTGGGCCAGTTTTGTCTAGTTGTTAAGTTACCAGGCTAGAAACCAGGAAACTGTGAGTTCTAGTACCACCTTAGGCACAAAAACCAGGTGGGTGACTTTGGGCCAGTCACTCTTTCTCAGCCCAACTCGCCTCACAGGGTTGTTGTTGTGGGGAAAATAGGAGAAGGAAAGGATTTTAGGTATATTCGCTGCCTCGAGTTATTGATAAAGTAAGAAAGGCAGGATAAATAAATAAATAGCTCTTCTGGATATTATAGTTTTTTCCTGCCAAAAATAGAAACAAGTTATATGTCACATTTATTATACATTATACAGGTAGTCCCTGACTCAATTGAGCCCAGAATTTTTGTTGCTAAGCGAGATAGTTGTTAAGTGAGTTTTGTTCCATTTTACGACTTTTCTTGGCCCAGTTGTTAAGTGAATCACTGCTGGTGTTAAGTCAGTAACATGATTGTTAAGTGAATCTGGCTTCTCCATTGACTTTGCTTGTCAGAAGATCGCAAAAGAGGATCACATGACCCCAAGACACTGCAACCCTCATAAATATGTTCGGTTGCCGAGCATCTGAATTTTAATCATGTGACCATGGGGATGGTACAGCAGTCGTAAGTGTGAACAACGGTCATAACTTTTTTCAGTGCCATTGTAACTTTCGAATGGTGGCTAAATGTACTGTTGTAAGTCAAGGACTATCTGTATGTACAAGGTAAAAGTAAAGGTTCCCCTCACACATATGTGCTAGTCATTCCTGACTCTAGAGATCAGTGCTCATCTCCGTTTCAAATCCGAAGAGCCAGCGCTGTCTGAAGACGTCTCCATGGTCATGTGGCTGGCATGACTAAATGCCAAAGGCGCACGGAACGCTGTTATCTTCCCACCAAAGGTGTCCCTATTTTTCTACTTGCATTTTTTACATGCTTTTGAACTGCTAGGTTGGCAGAAGTTGGGACAAGTAATGGGAGCTCACCCTGTTACACGGCACTAGGGATTCAAACTGCTGAACTGCCAACCTTTCGATCGACAACTTCAGTGTCTTAGCCACTGATCCACCACATATCTTTTACCTGTATATACCTGTATTATATTCTGCTTGCAGCCACAAGTTTGATTAACAAGTCATAGCTAGACTGTACCTCTAAGAATTGTTGAACCTTATGCGATGACATTTGAACAGTGAAAGAAACATCTGCAGAAAATATATCTGAAAGAATCACATATCATAATAAAAAGAAGAATTCAACATGATTTTGGATATGCTATGTTAGATCACCTGAATGCCAGGTGGTAGGAAGTGTCCATGCCTCTCCATTTCCCAATTGTGGAAATGATGGCCTACAAATTCTTGCTGCTTTGGGGAAGGTACAAAATGCATCGGCTTGTTCACTTTTAGGACTATCCGGGGAGTGGGCGGGAGAGATAAAGCTCACGATATACATTCTATCTAAATTAGCCTTTAGATAGCTTGAAGCTCAAGTAAATCATATCCTCAGTTCACTGCCTATTTTAAATAAGTGGCAGTGCGATGGGGGGGGGGGGGGGAGGAAGGACCTAATTTAATGCACTTGATTCAGGGAAAGAAAGTCAATTGGAACATTAAATACAAATACAATAGCCCGTTAGCTTTCTGTAAGAAGCTTCTCCTCCTATTAAAAAGCTTTGTTCTGAAGCAGTATGCAGACACATACACACCCGCACACACAAACACACACAATGAACGCAGTGCATCTTAGAGCTAAATTTAATATATGCAGGGGTATGATGTTTGCAGTGCATGCATTTCAGCAGGTCCCATTAGTGTGCCTTTCCCCTCCAGTGAAAACAAAATGAACCACAGCCCCTTCTGGTTTGCATAAAGCAAACAAAATTAGATTTGCTTTGCTGAATTGAAACTCGCTTGGGATTGTGCGCCTCTCTCGGGGACAAATTACTTCAAACAATCCCTTTGTACCATAACAAAATCAAAAAATTCAGGCCAATCAACATGGCTCAAAAACCCTTAACACAAGAATTAATAATACAACCTAGTCTATTTTTTATTGCTTCTGTGCTACAGATCTTTGTTTTAATGTAATTACGCTTATTTGCTGTCCAAGTGTTAAATAAGCTTGCATATGTTAACCAGGGTGACATAAAAACAACTTTTCATATTTGTCTGTTGTAGTCTCTAACGCAAATCTCTAGATCATATAAGCCAAGCATAATATTGAACTGAAATGGGATAGCAGTCCTTTCCAGTACAGACAAAAAAAAAAAAATCATATGTTTTTCTACTTATATAATAAAGATTATCCGAAGTACATCCTACTGAAATCACTGAGGCATATTTCAAAATATGTATGATTAGAAC